AGCTGCCCATCACACTGCAGGGAGAAGCTCTGCATGAGAGGAGAGACACCTGGCAGGGCAGCTTCATTTTCCAGGTGAGAGGATACTGCATGGGGCTGGGCTGCTCACAGCTTTCACTAACGCACAGGGCATGTTGGGTGGGTCCTTCCGAGAATTCAAGTGAATGGCTACATTCAGCGAAAGGAGTCTGTGCAGGTCTGCCTAGCTGGTTAACGTGGAGGCTTTTCCAATCATTCCTGTCTTGCCTTGCTTTACTTGGCAGCAGAGCCGCAGTTTTGCTCTGTGTTTCCCCTCCTGTCCTGCTGCTCCTGTTTTTCTCTTGCACTCCCTGGGGCTGGTGGATTTTCAGCTGCAGTTCGCTTACTGATGATGCAAATTCTGGACATAGGGTCTGCATGGGAGTGAGGTTGCCCCAGACCACTGTGCAGCTGCAAAAAATGCACTGCATGGGTTTGGGAAATGAGCTGACTCTCCCTTAAGGAGAGCCCATCTTGATTGCAAATGATCTTTTGACTCTTACGTGTAGCATCGTGGCGGCTTGTGAGCTGCCCTCCAGAAAGGATTTGATGTCTTATGGCATCGCTGTGATATCTGTGAGGAGTTGGTAGAAATGACAAAGATTTCTACCTTCAAGGAACACTCCCGGGTTGACAAGACCATCTAAAACAAAACAAACAAAAACCACGAAACTCTGTTCCTCAAATCTTACTCGTTAGAAATTAGAGTGAAGATGCTGAAAATCCCTTCTCCATGTTGAGTGGATTTCCCCTGATAGAAATGCTTGAGCTACTCACAACCATTCCGCTGTTCCCACTGTTCTGGAACAAAACTCTGGGGGTTGGAGGAGAACTACAGGATTAGGAGTGTGGGTGGAGTGTTGCTTGGAAAATCTCTCTAACTTCTCAATTTATTTTCTTCTTTAGAGAGTCTAGCATGCCCAGAGATATAATGTCCAACAACAGCTCCTTGAATGAATTCGTCCTCTTGCTGTTTGCATATACGCGGGAGCTGCAGCTCTTGCACTTCTCACTCTTCCTGGGCATCTACCTGGCTACCCTCCTGGCCAACGGGCTCATCATCACAGCCATAGCCTGTGACCACCGTCTCCACACCCCCATGTACTTCTTCCTTCTCAACCTCTCCCTCCTTGACCTGGGCTCCATCTCCACCACTGTCCCCAAATCTATGGCCAATTCCCTGTGGGACACCAGGGCCATTTCCTACTCAGGATGTGCTGCCCAGGTCTTCCTGGTTGTCTTCTTGTTTGGGGGTGAGTTTTCCCTCCTCACAGTCATGGCCTATGACCGCTATGTTGCCATTTGCAGACCCCTGCACTATGGGACGCTCCTGGGCAGCAGAGCTTGTGTCAAAATGGCAGTAGCTGTCTGGGCCAGTGGGTTTCTCAATGCTCTCCTGCACACTGGGAACACATTTTCCATGCCACTCTGCCGAGGCAACGAGGTGGAACAGTTCTTCTGTGAGATCCCCCAGATTCTCAAGCTCTCCTGTTCAGACTCCTACTTCAGGGAGGCTGGCCTTTTTCTGGTAAATGCCTGTTTAGTCTTTGGGTGTTTCGTTTTCATTGTGGTGTCCTATGTGCAGATCTTTACTGCTGTCCTGAGGATCCCCTCTGAGCAGGGCCGGCACAAAGCCTTTTCCATGTGCCTCCCGCACATCACTGTGGTCTCTCTGTTTATCAGCACTTCATTTTTTGCATACCTGAAGCCCCGCTTCATCTCCTCCCCAGCTCTGGATTTGGTGGTGGCTGTGCTGTATGCAGTGGTGCCTCCAGCAGTGAACCCCATAATCTACAGCATGAGGAACAAGGAGCTCAAGCATGCTCTGAGGAAAGTGATTTCATGGACATTTTTTAGCAGTGATAAAATTGACTTTGTTCTCCTGTAATGATTTCCACAGCATCCCATACCAACAGTGAGCATTATTTCTTCACTTTAGTTTTATTACGGCTAATAATAGCACTAGTATATTTTATTATGTTTTTACACAAATGCTTAGATTCGTCCTACAACTACTGAGACTGCTCCGTCTCACCTGGTGCCGACATAAAATGGGTCAGAACTGGCTCTCTCACTGTTTCATTATAATAAAGTAGGTTCCACCCAGTGTACTTCCTGAAGATTGGTCTTTTCCTCCAATGTTGATTCCTAGGATAGAATCAACGAATTGCATCCCAGCAGGGCTTGCTGCACAGAATTCTCCATGGATTCAGGATTAAAAAGCTCATAATCATTTGATGATCTCTTAGAGACCAAGGGCTTGATTTAGGGCTCACTCTTATTTGTCCAGTGAAAGCGGAGAGCATGAATGCTCATGAATTTACATACCCCAACCTGTCCCCCATAGTAAAGCATGGTGTCAGATACCCAGTCTTCTGGCGGGGAACATGGAGGTGCCAGGAGAGTACAGGGGATCTCCTGGGATAGCCTGTACCTGGGGTGGGCAGTGAGTGGAGCCTCACAAAGTGAGAGGTCCTCCAAGGAGAAGTCACCTAAAGGTAATGCTCTAAACCTAGTTATCTGTGGCCACTCTCCACACTGGAGAGTGATTCACATCACCCGCTGGGAAATACAAGGTGTAGGATCTAGAGGTGCATGTGGGCACAACTGGGACCTATAGGAATGTTCCATATTCCCTCCATCACTTGCCACGTTGGCAGTCCCCTGGAGGCATTAGAGGCTGTGATCCCCATTTAATTGGGTCTGCTTCCCACCCCAATCAGCATGGCCAGTGCAGAGCCACCATGTGGCCCTTTGTCCTCACAGGCAGCTGGCTCTGCTGAGCAGCACCAGCAGCTCAGGGTCCTGTGGGGAGAACAGGGGAGGCCAATGAGATCAGAGCAGTTTGAGATGAGAAGAAAGTGGAAGTGGGCTTGAAAGGCTCTCCACAGCCTCCTGCTACACCCAGGAGGACTGGGTTAGGGCTGGGCAGAGCCTGGGGTGGTGGGAGACTGCCAGGCAGGAGGACCATGGGGGACACCACCAAGGGCTGTTATGGAGACCATGCAGGGGGGATGATTCCTGAACACACCCTGTCCCGTTCAGTGCCTGTGCAGTGGGGCCATGGGGCCAAATGCTGGGCAGCAAAGCAGGATGGTTGGTCCAGTGCAAGGGTGAGGCTCGGTTGAGAGTCACAATCCTCCAGAAGCTTCCAATGGTCATGGAGGGAACTACACCGAGGGCTACAGCTACCAGCACTGCCCGCCAGGATTCCCAGACCCAGCACAAATGTTTGGTGCCAGCAGTGCAGCCCCCCATCCTGCGTCACCCTCCTTTCTCAGGAGCTCAGCTGGGTGCATCACTTCCTGCCCAGGTGTGCAGGGTTGTTTCTGGAGGTCTTCTCTTTTTAATCCCACTGCTCTGGCTCTGGGACTTATGCCTCTCTCCATTCATGTGTGAGGCCATGTAGGGACCTCCAGGATAGGCTCTGCTTGGAGCTCTGCTTGGAGCTGGTCACCATGGGCTGCCTGCATGGTCCCAGGAGAAGCCAGCAAGGCTGTGCTTGGAGGTGAGGCTGTCACTATCCTCAGTCAATGCTGGGGGAATTGCCTGGCTGGGGGCCAAGGGGAGGAAAGGGCAAGTGGCAATTAGGACAAGCAGCAGCAAAGGAAATTTTTTAAAGAGTTTATGGGCGAATAATAAAGAAAGAACTGTCATAATTACTCAGCTCTGGGACAGGAGATATTTAAAAATATTCCTGGAAAAGCATTTACCAAACCCGATCTACCTGTAAAGTCAGCCCTGCCCAGAGCAGATCATGGTCGTGGAGATCTCTGGTGACCCTCCCAAGCCTCCAGGAGGAAGGGGCTGCAAGGTGGAGTCCTGGGCAGGGGACACTGTTGTGGGGCTCAGGCCTTGCTGGCATTTCTACTGCCTGGTCAAGCTTGTCCTCAGATGGCATCAGCACAAGACAAGGAATATGTGGCGTCCCTGCTCAGTGGCACAGGGGACACAGTGACAAAGACATGGAACGACTGAGGAGCTCATTGCCTCTTTCACCTTGTATTTTAATGCTGTTGCTTCCTGCCAGGCCTCCCTGACCCCAAGCCCTTTAGCAGCATCAGTGTTTGCAAAGCCTCCTCCATGGAAGAGGATGATGCACTTGAAAGAAGAATGCTAGTGCACAAAAGGTGAAATAAGGGGATTTTATGAACCTTCACTTCAGCAGGACCTTTGGCACAGTCCCGCATAGTCTCCTTATAGCCAACCTGCACAGATCTGCTCTCCATCAATGGACCATAAGGCAGGTGGAAGCCTGAATGTGCCATCATGCTGACACACTGTGATCACTGGTATGAGTCCCAAAGGGCAGAGGCTTACTTGTGGCATCCCTCAGTGATCAGCACATGGGGCAGGACTGTTTACCATCTTTATTCATGGCCTGGTCAATGCACAGAGCTCAGCAGCACTGTGAACATGGCATACGCGGCAGCAGTCCCTGGGCAACCTCTGCATTGACCTGGGACTACATGACATCCAGACGTCTCATTCACTCGAAGTGTGGTGATTCAAAGAACTGTTCCCTGGAGAGCTCTGTAAAGAGAGGAGGCAGAGGAAGGGGCAGAGAGGCAGAAAAAGAGATCTGAAACATGTGAATATAAATAAGGCAGTTTCTCAGAAAAGTTTCTTTGTGAAGAGTATTGCCAGTAAAGGTGTTTTCATAAATAATGTGTATATATATATACATATATATATGCAAGTGTGCATAGACAGACTAAATCCTGTAGCACATGAAAATGATATTTTCCATTAATAAGAAAGAAATAACAAATGACAATGGTAAACACTGCGTGAAGTTTTGGAAATCAACATTTTTTTCTTGTCAGTCACTACAATGAGGATGCTTTAGAGACTCCTTCAAAACACTGCTTTAACACGGGCATTTTTAAAACAATGCAGCAGGGCTGGAGCCAGCGGGGAAGGCAGCTCAAGCCCTGTGCGTACAAGAGCTGCCCCCAGGGAGTGCGAGGGAGCAGGAGCATGGGGAGTAGAGTGGGCCAACAGCGCGTGACACCTCAGGACAAGGGCAGCAGTCAAGGCATGGTGCGTCAGTCAAGGCATGGAGTGGCAGTTAGCACAGCAGTCAGGGTGTGGGCGTCAGGCTGTGGCACAGCAGTTAGCGTGGCAGCTGGCATAGACAAGAGGTGCAGGCAGGACGTGCAGCAGTGAGCTCCCCGCAGTACCCATGATGGTAATCACAGAATCACCAAATGGTTAGGGTTGGAAGGGACCTCTAGAGATCATCTAGTCCAACCTCCCTGCTCAAGCAGGGACACCTAGAGCATGTGGCACAGGGTTGCATCCAGGCGGGTTTTTGAGATCTCCGGAGAAGGAGACTCCACAACCTCTCTGGGCAGCCTGTTCCAGTGCTCTGTCACCATCACAGTAAAGAAGTTCCTCTTCATATAGAGATTAAACTTCCTATGTTTCAACTTACACCCGTTACCTCTCATCCTGTCACTGGCCACCACGGAGAAGAGCCTGGCCCCATCCTCCCTACAATCACCCCTCAGGTACTTGAACATATTGATCAGATCTCCTCTCAAACTTATTTTCTCCAGAATAAACAGGACCTGCTCGCTTAGTCTTTCCTCATACAACAAATGCTCCAGTCCCTTAATCATCTTTGTCGGTCTACGCTGGACCCTCTCTAGAAGCTCAATGTCCTTCCTGTACTGGACAAGAACTGCACCCAGTACTCCACATGTGGCCTCACAAGAGCTGAGTAGAGGGGGAGGATCACCTCCTTCGACCTGCTGGCAACACTCCTCCTGATGCAGGCCAGGATCGCATCGGCCTTCTTAGCCACGAGGGCACATTGCTGACTCATGGTTAACTTGTTGTCAACCAGGACTCCCAAATCCCTCTCCACAGGGCTGCTTTCCAGAAGGTCAACCCCTTGTCTGTACTGCTGTCTGGGATTATTCCTCTCCAGGTGCAGTACCCTGCACCTGTTCTTGTTGAACCTCATAAGCTTCCTCTGTGCCCAATTCTCTATCCTATCTAGGTCTCTCTGAATGGCAGCACAGCCCTCTGGAGTGTCGGCCACTCCTCCCAGTTTGGTGTCATCTGCAAACTTGCTGAGGGTGCCCTCTGTGCCCTTGTCCAAGTCACTGATGAACCAGTTGAAGAGCACTGAGCCCAGTACTGACCCCTACGGGACACCACTGGCCACAGGCCTCCAAACAGACTCAGCCCCATTTATCACCACCCTCCGGGCTCTGCCATCCAGCCAGTCTTCAATCCACTTCACTGTCCACTCATCCACTCCACACTTCCTAAGCTTTCCTATGAGGATGTCAAAAGCCTTGCTGAAGTCAAGGTAGACAACATCCACAGCTCTCCCATCATCCATCCAGCCAGTCACCTCATTGTAGAAGGTTATCAGATTCACCAAACATGACTTTCCCCTTGGTGAATGCATGCTGACTACTCCTGATCACCTTCTTTTCCTTGGCATACCTAGAGATGTTCTCTAGGATGAGCTGCTCTATCACCTTTCCAGGGAAGGAGGTGAGGCTGACCAGCCTGCAGTTTCCTGTCTCCTCCCTCTTGTCTTTTTTGAAGACTGGAGTGACTTTGGCTTTCTTCCAGTCCTGCAGCACCTCCCCCACTCTCCATGACCTCTCAAAGATGATGGAGAGTGGCTAATCAATGACCCCTGCCAGTTCGCTCTGCACTCTTGGGTGCATCCCATCCAGGCCCATAGATTTATCGGTGTCCAGTTTGCCTAAATAATCCCTAACCCGATCTTCCTCGACCATCGGAAAGTCCTCCTCTCTTTTGGTTCTCTCTCTTGTCTCCAGGCTCAGTGCATGGGGGCTGGCCTTAGCAGTAAAGACTGAGGCAAAGAAGGCATTTAGTAACACTACCTTAGAAGCCCTTCCT